CTTACTTAAACAATGACCTAAGAGAAGCAAAATGAATTAAGATTAACTGTGATTTCAGTCAAGAACCTGACCGCCTATTCAGGATAAGTAATATTTTCTATATTGTTGTAAAGTGTCTTTCTAATTTCATTAAATTTCTTGAATTTGAACCCTATTTCAGTAGGCAATTTTGTCATCCATCATGAATTCTACAGGCTTGAATTTTCATCAAAATCAATAGTTATCTTCTAGGTAAGTTTTGACGCGTACTAACAACATATGCAATAACAATGGTATTTATTTTTCGTGTAGCTATGACAACAAAATGACTTACTCTTACTTTACAAAAGAAGCTTCTCATTGACTTCAGTGTCCTCCTTCTAATACAGAAGGTAGAAGGATTATTCATTTCATCAAAATATAATGCACCATTGGCAAGAATATAGTAATGATATTCTATTTGCATTCTTTTTCCTAAAAAAATAAGAATACATGATTTATACACTGAAATTGTAGTAAGGCATTGAGGACGTATATGAGCAGAATTTTTTTCTTTATTGAACTAACTAATAGGATCATCATTCATAAAACTTACTTTTTTTAAATTTTTATCTTATAACTCAAATATATTATTTAACAATATTTGCATAGTCTTTTAAATTATTTACTCATTGATGAGGTACACGTGCAATGCGTATGTCCAGAGACTAATAGAAATAATAACAGAATGCAAATATGTACATAGTACATACAGAGGACTCGAAAAAGCGGAAGGTATATAGAGAAAAAAAATTTGTGTATGAGCTTTAAGTTTTAAATTTTGGTTGTTATTTGATTAAAGGAGTTGGTTTCTTTAGTTTAAAAATGAAAAGGATATTGTTATATTTAAAAAGGTAAAGAAAAATAAGGAAATTCAGAAGATGAAAATATATGAGGCTGAAAGTCTAAAATTGAAGCTCAAAAAATTTTAGTATCTAAGGCCGAAAAACCTAAAACTGAAGCGATAAAACATTAAGAGCAAATGTTGACTGGGATTCGAACACGGGCATCTAGATACAAAATCCAGTACTTTACCAGTGGCACCAAACACATTTTTGCTAATCCGGGTGCCATCGACTGGTATATATCAAATTTCTTCTATATATTGTAACACCCCGAAAAATTTTGAAGAATTTAAGTGTAAAGCCCGGTAAAATTTACAAAGAAAATAATGCTTCATGGTGCCGGACTAGGATTACGTGTTTGAGAATTGTAGAAATTCTTCGCGGCTCGGACCTTTTGGGTTGAACAATGCACGGGAAAATAAAGAAACTTTTTTGACGGAAAAGTGCATTTCTGCGGTCCATTATGCGACCGCAGAATCACTCTGCGGACCACATAATGGCCGCAGAGTGAGGCAGTTAATTGGGTCAGTTGGAAGCAATTATGCGGTCGACTATGCGACCGCATAACTGTTATGCGGTGTACTATGCGACCGCGGAACAGTTATGCGGACCGCATAGTGACCGCAGACTCAGGCAGATTTTTGATCATTTTGGACACCAATTATGCGACTGATATGTGGTCCGCATAACCATTATGCGATCGCATATGCGACCGCAGAACCTGTTCCGGAGTTTCATTTTTGGATTTTTAAAACCCGACCCTATTTCGTTAAATACACTCTTTGGGTCATTTTTGAGGTGTAATCTGATATTTTAGAGTGAGAAAGAGTGCTCTAGAGTGAGAAAGTGTTCCTCAATAATTGATTCTTTAATTCTTGCTCAAGTTTTGAAAGATTAAGGAGGGAAACTCACTAGGTCTTCATCCTAGAGGTAAGATTCTACACCCTAACCCTCAATTTTGAATTTTGTCTAGAAATGGGTAATAAGCAAGATAATTTCTGGGCAAGAGGGTTGTTCATTTTACACGCATGTGTTATCAAAGGGCGTAGAAAGATTGTTGAGCTAAAAATGGTAAAGATTGAGTTGTGGGATGATGGAATCCTCCATAAAAGTACCTTGAACCTTAATCCACGCTTAGTGTTTGATAAAATGCTCAAATGAGCTGAGACTATGAATATCTTCCTAATTATGGTTCAATTTTGTTATGTCTCAAATAGATTGGGATTGCTAGAATTTCGGAACGTTGTAATAATTTAAGGAAAGCTCAATTGAGGTATGTTGGCTAAACTTTCTCTCTTGGAATTGAATTCCATAATGTTTCCGTGAGTTTCAAAGTATGGGTTGCGTATTAAAATGTGGTGGCTTGAATCGTATTTCAAATGAAAGCTAGTATGCCAAATTATGTGAGAAAATCTCAATATTCTTAAGGCTCTTAATTGCTCATATGTGTACCTAAAGTCTTGATTGGGAATGTCTTATTGTTGATAACCTGTAAAGATAGTTGGAAGTGAAATCAGTAAATTGGGAATATAAAGTGTGGCCAACATGCCAATAGTGAAAGCTATACTTGTGACCAATGGTGCCAATGAAATGAAATAATGTAAGAAACATTATGAAATGAGCTTTGACTCAACTATTCCAAAATTGACTTCGACAATATAATCGGCTAAAAGTTTATGAACTCAAGTGATGCCCATATGTGGCTGTTTTAGCTAATGCTATGCTTTGTAAGTAATTTTTAATGTGTTTTGCATTCTTACATATTCGTGAGTGGAAATTGTGTATGATTTTAACTTGTACTTCGATTGCTAATCATTTTACTCTATTTATTAGAAAGAAATCGATTGTGTTTAAAGCCTTCATTACTAATGAATTTAAAGTTGTGATTTTCGGAATATTCTATTTGTTGATAATTATGATGATGATCTATGAAAGGGAAGAAATGAAAGTGTGGAATATGAAATACGGCCATTGCGCCATGAATATAGAATCATATGTATAGCCAAGAGAGCCAATAAAATAATAATGTTGTAAGTGGTTGAAAATACGGATTAGGTGATATGTGGTGTGAAAGGTTATGAGATGTACGTATTTGTACTTTTGTTTCCAATATGTTATGAAACCCTATGGACGGTCTATGAAACACATAGGTATATTGTGTTATGAAACCTTATGGACGGTCTATGAAACGCATAGGTATGTTGTGTTATGAAACCCTATGGACGGTCTATGAAATACATAGGTATATTGTGGTATGAAACGCATAGGTATATTGTGTTATGAAACCCTATGGACGGTCTATGAAACGCATATGTATATTGTATTATGAAACCCTATGGACGGTCTACGAAATGCATAGATACATTGTGTTATGAAGTATATTATGTTATGAAATCCTGTGGATGGTGTATGAAACGCATAGGCACATTGTGTTATGAAACCCTATGGACGGTCTATGAAACGCATAGGTACATTGTATGAACGCATAAGTACATTGTGTTATAAAATCCATTGTGATATGAAATCTTGTGGACGGTCTATGAAACACATAGGTGTATTGTGTATAAGAGATATAGATGTACGGTATGAATAAACATTATGGACGGTCTATGAAACGCATAAGTGTATAATATGATATGTGAACACTAAGGAGGGTCTAATGAGACACATTATTAATGCAGACAATAGATGCTCCTTTTGTTGTCCTTGTTTGTACAGGTTATTTCGATTACATTATATTATGTGTTCCACGTATAGATCATATGGGCATTCTATTTTGAAAGAGGATTTCTAGTTATACATACTAGTGCTATTCGACAGTACTAACGTCCATTTTGCCGGGGACGCTGCATCTTTAATGGATGCAGGTGGTTCTACAATAGGTGGCATTGATCAGTGATAGCAGTACACTCCTTTCAGCCGATTTGGTGAGCCCCACTTCATTTCGGGGTCATGTATCATTTGTTTCTCATGTACTTTGTGGTTGAGGTATAGTCGGGGTCTTGTTGCCGGTATTTCCATATTACTCTTCAGTTGTACTTAGAGGCTCCGTAGACAGGTTGTGGGTGGTATTTGATGTTGGGAATTGGTTTAGAACTGTTGGTATTTGGCAACATATTTTTCATTAAATCTATAAACTCGTACTATTTTGGAAATATTGAATGATGCTGTTAATGGGAATGGAATGGAAGCGGTTAATGAAATCTCTTCAGTATTTGATTAACGGAGTATATCTCCTGTTTATTCACGAATGAATTTGGGTAGAATGAAATCTAACAGGCTTGCTCAGTCGGGTTCACTCGGTTGAGCGCCGGTCGCGCTCCTCGATTTTGGGGCGTGACATATATACACAGAAATATATAAGTTTCGGCCGAGATTTAAAGGTGGCTTGGCACCCCCGTACTTCCTTAGTAGATCTGCCCCTGCCTGTTATGTTGTAACTTATGTCCAATATGATAGTCCGCGGCTGAAACTATTTATATTTGGTAGCCGCAAAAGTGTATATAACATCAAATATGTGTATATAGACAAAAAAAATATACAAATTTTACAGAAAATATTATATATATATATATAAAATATTATTTTTCTACTATTATTTTAAAAGTAACTGTACAATATTATTTTCCCTAATTTCGACAATACCCTATATAGGAAATTTGGTAGTGATTTGATAATAGAGAAGATGGGGGCTCCACACGCATTTAACAGAAAACATAATGCCTATATCTTAATCATATATAGAGCATTTTAAGCAACTAGAATAACATACATTCGACTTCTGTCAATATCACACATGTTATTGTAACCCCACTTCACCCTACGCGGATTCATGACAGTCATGACCCAACTCCTTTTTGATACTCCAAGTTGTCAACTTCCAAATACCCACACATTTTTTCTTGTCTTTATTTCTTTTCTTTTTACAACTGTCTTGTGTATATTATATATTATATGTTCCACCTTTTTATCCTTTTCTAACATTTTTATAGGCTCTACCAACTCTCCCTTCATTAGTATATAGGTGGAAACTACTTCATTCTCAATCCCCAAAACCATATTCTCTTCTTCTTCCTCATATTTTTTGCATCTTTATGCTCTTTGTAGTTTTCAAGAAAGAGTTTCGTCCAATTTGAAATGGGCAACTACATATCTTGCACATTATTAGCACAAGTAGGAAATAAACAATCAAGAATAGTAAAGGTCATTTTTCCAAATGGTGAAATCCGAAATATACATCAACAAATTAAAGCAGCAGAACTCATGTTAGAGACTCCTAATTTCTTTCTTGTAAACTCAAAGTCTCTACATATTGGTAGGAGATTTTTTGCATTGAATGCTGATGAGGATCTTGAAATGGCCAATGTGTATGTCATGTTTCCTATGAAAAGATTGAATTCTTTAGTTTCAGCAGCTGATTTGGGTGCATTATTCCTCACTGCTAATTCTATTGCTAAAAGGGTGTCTTTTAAAAGAGTCAAAATCTTGCCGGAATGCACAGAATTTGCGGTGGATATAGAGGAGCCTAAGCCAAAATATGATAAAATTGCTTTGCCAAAGTTGAAATTGGAAGATATTGAAGAGTTTTCAACGCCAGAATTCAAGCACATGTTGTTAATGTGTAGGTCAAAGAAACCATTGCTTGAAACTATAATTGAAGAATCAATCTGTTCAAGATGAAGATTTTGATGAGTCGTTAATTCATATTTCATTGAAGTGTGCTCTTTGAATTTTAGCATGGGGGGACTATTCTTTTGTTGATTAGGGTAGGTTTTTTTGTGTTTGTGATTGAATATACAAAGATGTATAAGAAACATGTTTTTTTTCACAAACAAATTCTTTTATGAATATTTGATCTTTCAATATATGAGGTAATAATATATTTTAATTCTGGTTCTTGTGATATCTGGTTAAGTTTATATTTTCTTTAATTAATAAATCTTTATGAATTTTTATAAAGTTAGCGATTATTAATTGTTAAACAATTTAGTTACTAATGTATTGTGTTAAATTTGTATTGTTACTATATATCTAAAGGTAATACAGTTATAAACATAATTTAAATAAAATATTCTCATGTAAAAGGATCAAAGCACATATTATTAATTAATTCAAGAATAGATATGCTGTTTTTTTAATAACTAGAGATCAAAAGTGTAATTTTCTGAATGGATTTGGGTCTCGAAAATGATTGAAGGATCAAGAACCAAATTAATGTAATTGTTAATGGTTTAAATGGGAGGAGAAAAATAAATGGTTGATTTTAGTGGTGAATTATGCAGATTTTCTTCATAAAATATGAAAAGATCTTGCGCGTCCTCAATTATAGAATAAAACGATATTTGTCGAAAATTGGATGATGAGGCCACGAGGGATGTCCGAAAAGAAAGTCAGTAGCCACCCACTTATGCTCTTGTTATTTGAAAGCAATCATCCTAGAATTTTTTCTTTCTTGTAATTATGGTGCCAGAGCTAGTTTATATACGCAGCTCGATTATTTTTACGGAACCAGCAATAAGTATTAAATATTGTCAGAACTCTCTATAACAATATCTATATATAATAATACTTCACTATAAAAGCTAAGTTTTCCGGAACCAATTTTCATGTTATGTTATAATATATGTTCTCTATTCTCTATAACAACATTTCGTTATAACATCCAAAAATATTCGGAACAAACGAGACTGTTATAGAGAGGTTTGGTATAATTTTATCCACTAAAACTTAGACAGATTGGAAGTATCATCTAGTATTTTTTGTCTCCGCTAAAAATTAAACTTAAAACCTCATAGTTCTAACCCACTTTATTGACTAGTAGGTCACATAACTAGTCACACCCTTAGATGCAGTCATCCGAGAATCTTAGTAGTCCTTAGTTAGTTGAACTTTCATATACTAAGAATTTGAATTTGAATTTTGTAATTTCTTTTTTTATTTTTTCTTTCCCTCCGCATATATACAATAATCTTCTATACTATATTAAAAGTGGGAAGACCTTCGGTGAAAAGTTAAATTACTATAATGCCCATCTTATGAACCTAAATACCATATTTAATAGAATAAAAAAAACTAACGTCTACAATGTCTAAGTACCCCTTCACAACAATCACAACCATTTAGAAAAGCAGTAGCCAACGTTTTAATGTAAATCCATCAACTACTTTTGTTCTTTAATATACACTTATTATTATTATTATTATTATTATTATTATTATTATTATTATTATTATATTTCATTTCTCTCCTCCAAACCCCAAACTATATTACGTAGATGCAATACTTGAATGGTTGCATCAGTCAGCAACCTTTGGTTGCATTAGATAGCAAGTTAGCAACCTTGATTTTAATTCGGAACTGCTACTTTGAAGTGTTTTAGAAATTAAAAGATAGGTATTTTAAAACTTTTGCTATACTCCATCTGTAGTGTGCAAAGTAGCTCCACTCACTGGATTGATCAAGTACATTTAATGTAAACAACACTTTTATATATTCATCTTTCAAAAATTGGGACGGTTCTTGAATTGATTGTTAGTACGTATTGAAAATACAAGAGGGGTGAATTGTAGCGATTTTAAAAACTTAGTTGACTAAGTGTGAATTTAGTTGACTAGACTTTATACGGTGTTTGACTTCAGTAGAGTTAAATGAAAAGAACATAAGGTAAAAGAGACACATCAATTTTTATACTGGTTCAATACCGGTGTGGTACCTAAGTCCAGTTCCCTTGGGTCACAAGAGTTCTCTTAGAGCTTGATAAATGTTTACAGTAGTGATGATTTGTGAACGTTCACTACCAACGTTTGTACATCAACTATAATTCTTTGTAGAAATGATACAACTTTCTTTATGTGTTCTACCTCTTCCTATCTTTTGAGACACTTGTAGACTCAAGAATACAATGTTTGTACTAAGGATTAGAAAAGTTTAGAAACAGATGTTGTAGTTGCGTGTTTAATCCTTGAGTTTGCCAATCTTCTTATAGGAGAGTTTTGAGATTTGTTGTAGATTGATCTTTGATTGAGGCCCACAATATATTAATGATATTTAACCCAAGAGGTGCCTCCGATTCCTTCATGAGAGATGAGCTGGATTCTTTTAAGTGCTTGCTTTCCATACCTGAAATCCAGGAAGTAATTTGTGGTTATTGCACTTGGTTTGTTTGCCTTTCTTTTTTATGGCTTTAAGGAAAAAGGACAATACTCAAATTGTCTTCCATTATGTTGTGTTTCCCTTCCATTTTGAATCTCCTGATTTACTGCAATTATGTCTTCCATTATATCGTTTCACTTTGTTTTGGATCTTTCCAAATTACTACAATCAATAAGACAAAGTGGGTAACTTAGATTTGTCCTATTGTCATCATTGAAACTTAAGTGTAACAATCTTCCCCTTTTTGATGATGACAAAACAAAACAAAAATTAAACAGAGTCAAACAGAGTGTACTTCCCTTTTATAGCTTAAGATGCATGCTCCCCTTGAGTTGTTGCTCTGGTTCTGTTACTTCTCTTGAGTTGTTTCTCTGGTTGCTTTGTTTTACTTGCCTTCATGTTTTCTCCCCCTTTGGCATCAATCAAAAAGAAGAAGAAAAATAAGTGCAGATAGAACAATCATAATAATATAGGTTACAAGCAAACTAGTTAGGATAGTAACATTTGTGCCTTCAGCATAGGCATACTGTGATGGTTCTTACAGACCAGCGCAAAAAAATACCAAATGCACAAACTAAAGACAAGCGGGAACAAAAAATTATTTTAAAACACACACACGCACACACTGCCTTAGTTTCTCCCCATGAAGTACTTCAGGGTATTGATCACTTTGGTGCAGAAAGAGTCATAAGAGGTATCAATTTCTTTGGTCATTTTGTTCATCTTTTCTGTTATGGAGTTGAAAGCCCTAATTCCTTGCCTCCTTGTAGCTCATATGTCAATCCTGAGCTTAGCCACATCTGTGCATGCTTCTTTGGTGACTTCCCTGATCTTGTCCACTTGTTCTTTCATTGTGGTGAGCATGATTTTTAACTCGTCTAGACTTTGCTGAATCTGTTGTAGGTTATTTGTGACAGTCGACTGAGGCTCTATTGGTTCAGTGGGTGCTTCAACCTGTACTGAAGCACTTTTAACCTTGGCACGTCTTACCCATCCGTTTTCATCTAAGGTGTAACCCATCATAGCAAAGGTTGTCTTATCATAAGTGCTTGTAATGTGCTTAGGTGAAAAAGGTGCCAAATGAACCTTCATGACTTCAAGGATATGTGAGGAGAGCAATCCATAAGGTAAGCAAGTAGCACAAGAGGAGATATCCCTGATACTTTCGAGCATATACTAACGAATCCACACAAACCAATCAAGTCTTTTATTGTTCAAAGGCAGTAAAGAACGAAGATGCCTCTAGTAGTCAAAGTGTTGAGATACCTATTCCTAGGAAGCAGAGTAGTAGCTATCATATGTGCTAAAATACGGTGTTCAAACTTGAGACTTTTAGGACCAATGTCAGGGGGGTTTTCAGACAGAAAGGCTTTTGCTTCTTCTAAAGAAACTTCAAAGTCTTTAGGCCAAGAATTTGTACAAAGACATCATAACCATGAAACTTAGCAGAGAATATCTTTTCAAATTGATAGGAATCAAGAACAATCCGAGTGCCTAACACCATTGATTCTAAGTCATCTTTGTCATTAACAGACAGATTTGCATAAAATATCCTTACAAACTCTTCATATACAGAAATTCCAATAGTATCAAACAAGGAGGAGAGACATTGAAAATCAAAGATAGCAATTACATCACAGTATAAACTTTTCATAAGAGGAAGACTTACAGAGCGTCCATAGGCCATAGATTTAGACTTATAAGACTCAAACCTTGATTTTTCACTTGGTCCGTAGAAGATTAGTTTATCCGCTGGCCCAAAATCTGAGCTTTCCACTTTCACTTTCTTGCATGCAGGCCTTTTGGGGGTTTGCTCCATGGGTCTTTTTCCTGCCCTTTTTGACTAATAGGAAGTTCCTCTGATGATTCACTGCTTTCATTATCGGTTTTGAGAAATTCTGAATCAAGAGATGATTCAAGGTCAATAGTTTTTTCAAGATTTTGGGTAATCTGAAATCGTCTGCTTCGTCTTGTGGCGTTGGATGATGAGAGATTTTCTTTCACCATGGTAGAGAAATTTTGTGAGAAGTGATAGAGAATGAGAGAGAAAAAGGGTGTTTATCTAATCTCTTGAGAGGTTGAAGAGGTGCATCGGTTAGAGGAAAAGATGAATTCAGATGGAAATGACCCTTCTGGGGAGTTGCTTCGGCGACACCAGTGCAATAGTAATACTTGCATCGAATTAATACATTCACCAATTAAGCAGACCAAGAAAATATTTTATAAGGATATGAAGTATTTCTTCACAAAATAGATATAATACCAATCTTTTTACGCAATAGACAAAATCTTTCTTTCAAAAGAGGTTTTGTAAAAATATCAGCAAGTTGCGATTCAGTACTAATGAATTTTAACAAAATATCACCTTTTGCAATATGATCACGAATAAAATGATGTTTAATTTCAATGTATTTTGCCCTAGAATGATGCACATAATTTTTTGACAGACATATAGCACTTGTATTATCACATAATATAGGAGTAGATGTAAGAGATAAATCATAGTCGAGAAGCTGATGCATGATCCA